TGTGTGTGTGTGTGTGTGTGTGTGTGTGTGTGTGTGTGTGTGTGTGTGTGATTTTAAAAAATAAATTTTTTAAGGCTAGGATGTGACACAGCAAGTTCAGTCCCTAGAACCACGTACTAACAAGTACAGTGACCCAGGCCTGTGATCCCAGAAACTGGGAAGTTCAAGGTCATTGTCAACATCATGAGAGAAGCCTGGCATTAAAAAAAAAAAAGAAGAAGAAGAAAGAAAGAAAAAAGGAAGGAAGAAAGAGAGGGAGGGAGGGAAGGAACATAGGTAGGAAGGATAGGAGAGAAGAAGGGAGGGAAAGAGGGAGAGAAAAGAGAGAAGAGAGGAAACAAAGGGAAACGGAAGGACTGTCTTCATGATCTGAACAGTGATCGTGTGTTTGTTCAGTTTGAAAAGCTTGGGGGAATGGAAGAGGCTGCTAGTAATAAATGCATGTTTTCAGATGATGGGCCACCAGAACTGTAGGATGCCAATTACGAGTGAGGCCTAACTACTTGGAAGTAATCTGAAACTTAAAGGCAGAAAGTTGTTTTAATACGCTACTCAGTAACTTCTTATGCTAACTATCGAGCAGAGGCGATCATACTAACAATTTAAATTAAAAAATAAAAAAATACAAATAAATTGTCCCAAACGAAGCTGTATGAAAACAATCCTTACTGGGTATGGCAACACACTCCTTTAATCCCAGCACTCAGAAGGCAAAGGCAGGTAGAACTCTGAGGTCAGCCTGGTCTACAGAGCAAGTTCCAGGATAGCTAGGGAACTACATAGATAGCTACATAGAGAAATCTTTCTCAAAAACAAAGCAAAAGCAAAAACCAATCAGTTACAGTAACTTCTCTCGAGGCCATAAAGAAACAGCTTATAAACCAGCTAAAACTACCAAGATAGTTCTAGAAACGATAATTTTTTCCTCACTACTTCACTGCAATACAACTAAGCATGAATAAAACATTTAAGATACAGTATTTCAATGTGACAAGCACATTTTCCCAGTAAACAGGCAGTTTACAAAGTTCCATCATCCTCAAGCCTCTCCTTTACTTTCCATCCAGCACAGCCACTACATGCTGGACTGAATCAATTATGCAAGTCTTCCCTTTTTGTCAGACTTCACACTCACAGCACACACTAGAGTCATCCATGTCAGTCCGTGTGTAGCACATTCCTTGCACTGCTAGACGAAAAAGTTGCCTGCGCTGGCAATGAAAACTGACATGTCCTACAAGGACACACTGCTAGTCTCCTGGTAAACAGGAGCAGAGCAGTGGAACTGCACAGTAAGTGCACCCCTCACTTTTAATAAACTCTCAGACTGTTCTCTAAGGTCGCCATTCCATTTCACACTTCCAACAGCAAGGCAGGAATTTCAGCAAATTCTCCTGACAACAGTGTCATCTTTTCAATTTTAAACAGCCTATAGCGGGTATCTAGTTTCATTTCACTGAGATTTTATTTTGCCTTTCAGTGATGATTAATGTTATTTAAAAAAAAAAAAAATTGGCACTAAGTCTAACAACCCAAGTTTAACCCCTAGGACACACATGGGGGAAAGAGACAAACAATTCTCAAAAGTTGTCCTGGATCTCCACATGCTCCCTGTGGCACTCTCTGGCATATACATTAAGCAAGCACGCAAGCAAACAAATATAAAAGACAATGAACCTTTTCTCCATACTCTTATTGTCCATCTGAATTCTGTATGTTGTCTGCTCATCTCTCTACAGGTTTTTTTAAATGAAATCTTATTAAGTGTTCTTTATATACACTGGGTAAAACTGTGATACGTAAGTAGACATTTTTCAGCCTGCAAAGTGCTGTTTCATTGTGCTCTTCTGTTCCTGGCCCTAACACTGTCTTTCAGTTGGTTTGCTGAGCTCGGTTCTTGCTATGTCTCAAATAGGCTACCTTAAAGGCCCCTGCCTCACCCTATGTACAATACCACACCTAACCACCACTGTCGCTTTTGGAGATAGGAGCTCTCCAATGTAGTCTGGGTTGTCTCAGCTACACAGCCCTGATCTTTGCCTTGCCTCCACTGTTGAGATTTACAACAACCCAGCTTCCATTGCGTGTTCAAGAGCAGAAGCTGTGCTGAAAGTGTCCAAATGACTATTTATTCCTTTACCCTACGATTTCTATGGGCATACCTGCACTCAGAATAACAAATAATTTTAAAAGTACAATTAATTTTTGTTAGCTATGATAACAGACTGTAATTCATTTTTTTAAAGGAGTGTTTAAGTTAAGTAAGCCTGTTTATGAATGAACCAATGATCAATTATTTCTCCACCTGCAGAAGAATGTGAGCAGAAAAAAAAAAAAAAAAAGGCAAGCATTTGTGGGATGTTTATCAAACTAAGAGATGGGTTCCTGGTGATCTACTGTACTGTTCTAGAACATGGATCATCTAGTGAGGAAGGTTTAAGAACATAGTCACGTATGCACTGACAGCAGGCAATCTGCACTACGTTTCAAAGACACTACCAAACAAGTGTTTTGTAATTAATTTTTATCAAATTTGCCTAGGTTTCCAAGTCACATTAACCTAAAATTCACCTAAAACACATCATCACAAACTACTTGGAAAGTAATTTGAGGATTTTAGACCTATTGGCTTCCTCTGCTTATACAAATCATTTTAGACAGAAATAGATAAACACATTGAAATCAAATGAAAATCAGGTCACAAATGTAAGGTCACCTTTATGACTAATCTAATATTGCTAAGTCATGAAGAAATAACAAAAATTGGATTAATTCAATCAGACAGTACTTAAATCCTATTGTATTTCAATTTTTCTGTATAGACCACTGTCAAACTCTCAATTTAAGAGCCATATCGAGTAGCTTCCTACAAGCAGTCACCAACTTACAGACAGATGCCGTTAGTGCTTCCTTAAGTTTCCATAACTACACAATAATATAACCCCCAACCCTCTTGAATCTGACCCCCAGAACTCCTACCCATTGTCAAGGTTCCACCTCACTGCCCCCTCTCACGGCCAGGGGAAATAAGTTTCTGGAATCCAGAGTAAAAACTCAGGAACGCATTTTCCTACAGAAAAAAATATAAATTGTGATCTAGAATGCTGTACTTTATAAGGGCTTTTGTAAACTAAAGCCTAAGGAACCCAACAACTCAAAATAACATTTCTATGAGAAAATGCATTCCAGGTTCAAGAGATTTAGCACACTCCCACGGTAGGTTGGTGACTGTCTGTATTTTGCCACCAAACATAACATCTGACTAACTTCACAAAAAAATTAATTACATGTTGCTATATGACGTGATTACTCATTCTATGAGTGCAAGTTCAACAACTTCTCTCAATTCACTGAAAAGCTGTTGCAATACTTACGTTTAACATTTCAAAGTCATTGCTTTCTAAGCCCTGTGTGAGGAGGACTGGAAAGCTGTTTGTCTGCAAAAGGTCATCCTTCCTTCCTTTTCTATCTAGATCCATGGCGCCAAGGCGTTCCTCGATGCTAGCCTACAGAATGAAAACATCACTAAGTTAGCCAGACAGGGATTGGGGGGCTGCAAAGAAGCTCAGATTCATGCCTCAGACACAGAAATACATTCTCATTACCACAGTAGGGCTGTGGAAGAAATGTGAAAAGAGCAGCAAACCAAGTTCCCACATGTTCCAAACCTAGGAAGAAAAAAAAAAAAAAAAAAAACCAAAAACCTAATAGGCACACTGGCAACTGAAGAAATGGCTCAAAAGGTAAGAGCACTAGCTACTCCCAAAGGATCACAGTTTGATTCCTACCACCCATGTGGTGGCAGCTCACAACTCTCACTTTTAGTAACCACTGATAGTAACCAGTTCCAAGGAATCTGATGCCTTCCTCTGGCAACTACAGACACTGCAGACACCCAGTACACAGACATACGTGTAAACAAAATAACCATACAAATAAAATTTTTAAATTCGTTTATCTTTTTCTTAATTTTTTTTTAAAGACAAATACATAGCTGGGGCGTGGTAGCACAGACCTTTAATCACAGCACGGGGGGGGGGAGGGGGCGGGGGGAGGAGGGGAGGCAGAGACAGGTGAGTCTCTGTGAGTTCAAGGCTACAAAGTGAGGCCAGGACAGCCAGGACAGTTATACAGAGAAATACTGGCTTGGGGAGGAAAAAAAAAAAAGGGGAGGGAGGCACATGACCCTCTTTAATGATATAAATCACACAAATCCTGAGCTCCTCTCTGGGAAGATTAAAAAATAAAAGGACCTGGCATCTTCTAATCCAAAAGGAAAGAGCTACTATTACATTAAGTTTTCCCTAACACAACTGTCCCTTGGCATCAACTCAGATTTGTCAAGAATATAAAGTTGGACTGGCAAGATGGCACAGGCAAGTAAGTAAGGGAGCCTGCCACCAAGACCACCTACCTGACTTTAATTCCCAAGGTGGAAAAAAAGAACAATTATGCCAGATTGTTCTCAACCTCCACATACATGTAACACACATATACACACACACACCACAGACAGGTGCTAACGCACTCAAACATCAATAATGTAATGTAATAAAAAAGTTTTATACCAAAAATGTAATAAACTTTTAGAATGCTGAAGTTTATAGTCCCTGTAAATGACTATGACCACCATTTTACACTAACTGGCACGAAACCAGCCAGGGTTGCTCAGACAGCCAAGAGAAAAGGAAGCATCATGGGAACTCAGCAGTATGCGAAACCCAATCAAAGTCATCACAGCAGACCCTGACTTAATCTATTCAATCTCATCTAGCCAGCTATTAAATGACAAAATCTGATTTTAGTTAAAAGACTGGAAAACAGCTGAGTGAGGTGGCACACGCCTATAATCCCAGCACTTGGGAGGCAGAGGCAGGCAGATCTCTGTGAGTTCAAGGTCAGCCTGGTCTACAAAGCTGTCCAGGACTGCCAAGACTACACAGAGAAACCCTGTCTTGAAAAACAAACAAACAAACAACAGGACTGGAAAAGAGCAGTGGGCTCTGCAAGCCTCAGAACAACAGCTCTGTCTCTACCTAATACACACTCTCCCAGTAAGCAAGCGGTTGTTACCTCATTGCTGCCTAATTTCCTCTTGTTCTCCACCTCACTGGGCTGCAAAGGTGGAGTCTTTATTGGTGCATGATGTCCAGGAATCCCAGGCACCAGAACTTTTGCTTCAGAATTCATCACTGGTGTTTTCACCTGCCACACAGAGCATCGGGGTGTGAGAAAGGTGTAACTTAGCAAGCAGCTCTCCCAAGGCTTTTCAATCAGGCAGTGCAATACAATGTACTCACCACAACAGGAATTCAAGACAAACTATTGAATGAATATTGGCAAACTTAAAATACTAGTTAAGAGCTCACACTCTATCTCATTAAGAGTATGAACCAAGAAAAATAAAACCTACCAAATACGTAAGGCTGTATGATTTTTAAAATGTTCAAGTTACACATCTGACAACCTCCAAAATGAAATCTTGCCAACCATGCTCAGACAGCCAAGAGAAAGGTGTCATCTCTGAAACTCAGCCAGACGCGAAACCATGTGGATATCATCATAGCATAAGTTGGCTTTACTCCCTATTTCATCACAAACAAGGTATCTACATGCCAATAACAAGTTATACTCAACAAAAAGAATGGTAATGAACTCCAGTCCTATGGATATGTGTTATTAACACTCATTCCTGCATAGTTCCCTGGCCAGATCATCACGGAGGTGGAGTTTCACAACCCTCATGTCTAAAAAGTCTCCCATTTCTAAGACAAGAGCATCAAGAGGAAAACATTAGAGAATAAAGAGGAGCCAGGTGTGGCAGTGCACACACCTGTCACCTCAGCACCCAAGAATCATGAGTTTTAATTGAGGGTAAATAACAAAACTGTACCTTAAGAGACAGCAGAAAAAATAACTGAAGTCAACCTAACATGGTACTATATATTCAACTCAATTTAACCAAATTACTATTCTTAACACCAAACTTATAATGTACTCACCTTGGTTATAGCAGTTTCTACTGTTGGAGCCCAGCAATTTGAAATGTCTCTTTCCAAACATATATGACTATCTTTGGAATTCAAAGCCTACAAATGGTTTTTAAGGAGAGATGGGAGGAGAGGTTAGGAGAAGACTGTCAACCAAAGTAACATCCAATGATGTTAAAAAACAAATGACTGCATTTTCATAATGTACACTGCCTGAAAGTCACAATCATCACTTGGACCCATAGCAGCAGACATGTAAACTGAAAGCCCTGGTGCAGTGTGTACTTCATTATTTATGGACAACTTGAATTTTTCATTTAAGTTTTAAAAGGCCACAGACAGTTCTCACAGAAAAAGGCATGGGGTCCAACATTCTTATAAATAAAAACCCAGACAAAGCTCATTGAGTCCTACCCTAAATTTCCCTAAGTTATTTCTACAAGCAAAAGTGGGACAGAACTGTTTACTGAAAGGTTACCCTAAGAGGGATTTGTATGTCCAGACACAATGCTCAAAGATGGGGAAGACAGGAGCCACATGCAAGTTATTTAAGTCCCAGAAAAGCTTCTACATAACTTCATAAGACTAGAGAGCTAATATCTGTAAAATCAAAACAGATAACAAAGGCTGTTATCTGGAAGGGGCTTCCCATATATATAACAGATGAGTCTCCAGCTGCATCTTTTTTTTCTTTTTTTTATTTATGTATGTAATCAATTCTTTAAAGTGTTTCCTGGAATCAACAAACACCTGAAATCCCAGCACCCAGGAAGCACAAGCAGTACAGCCCCTTACACACTGATAGGCAATCAGGGCTACCTAGCAAGAGCCTGTGTCAGTGGTTCAGAGCTTGTCTAAATTGAATGAGGCTGAGTTTAATCCCTAACAGTACAAGGAAGAAAACAGAATATTCTTTAATAAACTCAAGAGCTTATTTGGCTCCCTACGAGCCTTACTAGATAAAAGTATTATAAAACCAAACTTAAGCACTTACTGGACTGGACTAAGATCTGCAAATCTTTAAAGAAAATTCTAAAGTAAGAATGTCGCTAGGCATGGTGATTTATGCTTTAATCCAGAGACATAGAGGCAGGTGATCTCTGTGAGTTCTAGACAGGCCTGGTCTACAAAGAGAATTCCAGGACAGCCAGAGCTACACAGAAAAACAAGTGTTTCGAACAAAACAAACAATAACAACCACAAAAAAAGGTCAAGGCATTTCCCATTCTATTTCCATTTAGAGAACACAATGGGTGTCACCTCTAAGGGCTATTAGTAAGCAGTACATTTTATGTAATTCAGCAAATACTCATATTCATGTTGACCAAAAAAGAAAACAAAAACAAACAAACAAAAGGCAAGTTACCTATGTAGGAAACATCAAATTTCTAAGATAAAATACCAAAAGGAAAGGAAGGAGTGACACTCTGACACTCTGCTGGTGAAGAAAAATAAAAGAATTCTCACAAATGAAACAACCCACTGTAAGTTTTTTAAAGGAGAATGTTTATTTTCTCTAAAGTATTCCATAAGGAGTCAAATGCCCCCTTTTAAAATCTGAACTGTTGTATCCAAAGTAGCACCTACTTACCACTCGCTCAATGGTAGGATGAAACCAACTGCCATACACCAGCAATAAGGACGTTTTGTCTGAGCAAAAGCTAGCTGCTAGAATAGGAATGGGTTTTGGTGTTGATTTCTTGCCCTTTCCTGGTGTTGCTATCTGAATTGTACAATTTGAAGTCAAAGGCTTCTTGCAATGTCTAGGAATAAAGAGAAAGTAAGATTAGAGAATCAAGTCACAAAACAAGACGCCTCTCCTCTTCTCTACGGTACTATCACAAGTGCCCAGAAAGACAAGTCTCTTTAAAGACTTCACATGTGGACTAATACCAGCCTTCCAACTCTTACAGCCCTAACAATATGATCTCTCATTGCCCTAAATGTCAGGCCTTTCCCAGATAGTTCCATTTCCATCGCTCTCAACTTTCAAAGCCTCACCACAACCTCTGGTGTCCAGTTAAGATCACCTGGGTCTTCTCCACGGGCACTGCCCTAAGTGGCAGCTGTTTCACAACCACATTGTTTATACAATTATGATTTTGCTCTCCACTGACACTTTTAAGATATCAATCCCTCCTTTCACCCCAAAAACCGTTTTTATTTAAACTGTATGTATGCAAAAAGTATTTCCTGGAATCAACAAATACCTGAAATTCCAGCACCCAGAAAGCACAAGCAATTGATAGGCAGCCAGGGCTACCTAGCAAGAGCCTGTGTCAGTAGTACAGAGCTTGTCTAGTATGAATGGTATTGTCTCCAATGCCAGCTACTTCTCCATCATGAGGCCATCTTCTGAATCACAGGCACCACATTTCTTCGAGAAAGTTCACTGGCTCACCACCATCACTTCCCAACTCTACTCCTCATGACTTTTTTCTGAGATTTCACATCCAGTACTCAAGTTGCAGATGATTCTGAAACTCTGGTCTTCTGGTTCTCGACGCAGGCACTTTACTGCATCCCAATCACACAATTTTCTTGCTTATTCCCAGTGAGCTCAGTTTTCATCTCAATTTTAAGCATCACTTTATGCTACCTTTTCAACTCCCTTCCCTAGTATCCTGGCTCCACAAGGGTCTCTAATACCCAGGACTATGCACCTCGTTTGTCCTTTATCTCGCTTTAAGCCATTTTCAACAGCCTGGACAGAATGACTTTCATGAACCTTTAGATAATGAATCATCTGCCAGAAAAACTTCAGTGGGGGTTAAAGATGGCTTAGTGGTCAAGAGAACTGACTACTCTTTCAGGACTCAGGTTTGACTCCAGTACCCACAAGGCAACTCAAAAGTTCCAGGGGATCCAGTACCTTCTTCTGCCCTCCTTGTACACCAGGCAAGTAAGTGATATACACTGAGGCAAACACCCATATACATAAAATAATTAAAACCAAACAAACAACAAAACTTCAATGGTCTGCCTGTGCCAAAGAGAAAGATGAAAATCCTCATGAGGCATAATCACAATCTGGGAAAGCACATGCTACTGTGTAAAGTGCTACACATGGAAATGTTAATGTTCTCTTAGAGAGTTAAATGGAAGGAGACTCAAAATTCCTGGTTTTCCTCCCCCTTCTTAGGATGCTAGAAACAAAGTCCTGATTGTACATCCTAGCCAAAAGCGTGACACAGCTATATCGTTGCCTGCCAAATGTTTATAGTAAGTGCATGCTTCTTTCCTAACTCTACCTACATTTACGGTATCAGGAAAACAGCACAGGGACACCTCTCTTAGTTACATACACACAGACAAAGACAAACAAACCACCGTGGAAGACTAAACGAGGCACCACCCAACCCACCAGCAAGTCTCTAACTGAGTAGCCTTCTCTCCAAATTTTTATTATCAACATTCACTATACATATGTCATAAAAAGCCACTCTCCTAACCACAAAGGAATGACATGGCTTATGATCCCAAAAACTTGAGTTCACATACTCATGTGGATAAGCAATCGAGTGCTTTTCACAGTAAACTATGGAATAAGCAGGAATACAATACAAAGAATGAGGTGAGATTATAATGAGACGAAACACAGAAACAAGCATTTCTGATTTAAAGACTTCCTACTTACCCATTTAATATGTGCTCAAAAAGATGGACTTGACCATCTCTGCAAACAACAGCTAACTTGACAGGCTAAAAGAAAAACATGGCTGATTAATTCTAGTCAATCATATACCCAGTCTT